AGAAGCAGGCAGGCCTTGGGGAGGCAGGGCGTGGTCAGAGCCCGCGGGATGGGGTGACCAACATTGGTTTGAGGCCGAGGGCCTCAGGCTGCCCGGGGAGGACTGGCTGCCTGCCAGTGGGACATAAATGCTTGAAGCTCATTGGTTGAGGACCCCCACAGACCCCTTTACCACCAGGATTCTCCTTTCTCATCTGGTCCAGGGCTGCCCAAACCCCTTGTACGTGATAGAGTGTTTCGCTCAATTAGTAATAATAATAATAGAGCAGTGGCTCTCATTTACTGAGCACCTGTAATGGGTTGGACGCTCTGCTACGCTCTCCGCCTCCACCATCTTTTTCAGTCATCCTGACAGCTCTGACATCGGACCATTATTGTCCCCATTTTACAGATTTGGCCACTGAGACACAGAAAGGTAGTCAAGCTACAAGGGAGCCAAGTGGGGTTTAGAACCGGCTTCTCCTCGGGCTCCAGAGCCTGGCCTCCCGGTCCTATCGCCATTCCTTCTGAACAAGGGGCAGGAGGCTGCGGGCCGGGCCGTCCTGCCTCTCTGGGTGTCCTGAGGTCCCTCTGCGCTGACCCGCCTGGGGTGATGTTCCGGTGAAACTCCCCAAAAGGAAGCCTGTTCCTTCTATTCTCTGCTTCTCGGAGGGCGTGTCATTGTCACCCTCAGGTGCTGACAGCGTCTGACAGCTGGGAGAACTCGGAGGCGGTCTGGGCAGAAGTCGGGGAGCCGTGGAGGAGACAGCCGGTCCCGACCTGGCTCAGTCCCTGAGTCTCATAACCCCTTGGTGCCTCAGTTTACTCATTTGTAAAATGATGCCCACCGAGGCAGTGCCTTTAAAGCCAGGCATTGAATAAGGCTTTGGATCAATGCTGCTATTTTTTCACTATTTCTCTCTGACCCCCAGCCCCAGGCTATGACCCAGACAGTCGCCCTGCCCCATCCGCTCCCCTGGAGAAAGCTGATCTTGTTTTGCCCAAGGCTCCTTCCCCTGAGGCGTTGGCCAGGGCCCAGCGCCCAGAACAGCTTGCTCAGCTCCCTCCGTGGCCTTGGCCCCAGCTTGCCCCGAGAGCGAGTGGGGCTGTGCCCATCGGGGATGGTGAACAGAGAGGGCAGGTCTCAGGCTCATCCCCGGGAGAAGCCTGGGATCCGGCCCAGCGTTTGGGGTTGGGGCTGCCCTGGGGGTTCAGCTTGGTCTCCAGATGTTGGAGATGAATGAGGGGAGCCCAGAGGGCTGCAGCATCCCAGGCACCCAGACCAGAGAGGGCGCACGGCCCACTCAGGCCCTTAGCATCCTTTCGGCCCCAGCGGTGCCTTCCTGGGAGGCCGGTGTGGGGCTGAGCCCTCTGGCTTTCCAGTTCCATGTGTTCCTTCTTCCCTCGTGGTCTCAGACGCACCTCTCTGTGTCACACGCACACACTCCTCAGGCTGTCACGTGTGGCATAGGATGTGCCCTCCTCACTGAGCCTTCCAGACGCCCTGGGGAGACTTGGTCACTTGTCCCCTGCAGGACTCCATCTCCCTCGGTCACAGTGTGCGCGGTGTGGCAGGATTGCACATATTGTTACATCTGCCTTTCCCAGACGGTGACCCCCCGGGGATGGGGCGGGCTCACTTCCTTGGGGTCCCCAGCCACCAGCATGGCGCCAGCACCCAGGAGAGGCGCTTAGGAAACTTGAATGAATGAATGGGTTTTGCATGGCCCAGGACGTGGGAGAGAGGCCGTCATTCCGAAGGAGCCCAAATCACACTTGTCCTTTTCCCTTTCTGCTCTCAGATTCTTATTTTTATTCTGGCGCTGCTTCTGGGATCAAAACATGGACAGTTTCCCGGCAGCCAAGGTCAAAATGCCCCCAGCAACGATGCCCGTCCAGACCAAGGCTGAGGGCACAGGCTCTGGGGAAAGGGTGTGAGAGGAGGGGCCGGGGGATCTGGCTCCCTGGGAGAGAGAGGGAGAAAGGCCCATTCTCGTGGGTGGCAGGGGGAACCCCTGGCATCTACCCCCCACCCACCGTGAGATGCGGTTTGTGTGCCTGCACTCATGCCCTCCGCCCCCGTCTCTTCTTCCACCCAGGAGTACGTCGCCTACAGCCACACAGGCCGCATCATCCCTGCCATCTGGTTCCGCTACGACCTCAGCCCCATCACGGTCAAGTACACAGAGAGACGGCAGCCCCTGTACAGGTTCATCACCACGGTGAGTGGGCGGGGTGCCTGCGGTGTGGGGGGGCTCCTCCTCCTGGAGCCACCCCTGGTTCTTAAAGAAACAGGGCACAGCCCTCAGGACTGGGGGCTCAGGCTATACACCAGGAGGCTTTGATCTCTATGATGTGCAGAACTGTCATCAGAATCACATCAGTGTCGTCGGTGGTTCATCAAGAAAATGTTTTCCAGCGGGGAGTGCCATGCAGCTCATTGCTTAAGACAGTGGTTCTCAACTTCGGCTGCCCATTAGAATCACCTGGGGGTCTTTTTAAAATCCTGGCTTCTGGGCCTCATCGTTAGTAACAAAGAAACCGAATTTCCGGAGGATGGGGCCCAGAAATCAGGATTTTAAAAAGATCCCCAGGTGATTCTAATGGGCGGCCCAGGTTGAGAACCGCCGGCTTATGCAGGTCTTTGTGTGGCTCGATTCGATGTTCGTGGCTGCCTCCAGTTTTTCACTTTGATGGGTGTCCTTGTGAGCAGGGTTTATCCTTTTCTGTGTACATTTTGCAGTGAAGGCTTAACGCGTTTTCTTTCCTGCGTCTGTTTTCCAACCAGAGCTGCTGATAGCATCAGGGTTTTTCTTTCCTTCCTGCCTGTCCCTTTTTTATTTTCTTCTTTGGCATCGTCTCTGCCGATGGAGACAGCTTCAAGCTGATGTCATTCTTCTCTGAGCCTCATTGCCGAGTATGCGGTTTCCTGGGCTCTCGTTCCCCACGTCCTCGGGGGAGCAGCGGGTCACGGTGCCCTGCCTCCGCCAAGAGGCCCAAGGTGTTTGGTGCCAGAGCCGGCTGACGTGAACAGATGGGTGATCATCCCCACCTCACAGATTGGGAAACTGAGGCCTGGAGGCCGTATGCTTCTTCTGCTCCGCTGCATACTTTGAATAAGGAGTCAGGGTTAGGGGGCCAGTCCTGGCACTTGCATTTCTGGCTCTGACTCAGCTACAGAAGAGACAGGGCCCCACAGCGAGCTGGTTTGAGGGGGTTGGTAGGCCTCAGGCGTGGCTGGATCCAGGCATAAACAAGGTCTACAATAGGCCTTCCTTCAACCCCTGTTCCTCTGCACCGGCTTCGTTTTCAAGCAGAATTTACCAGTAGGAAATGCCTCATTCTCAGTGACTCCGCCCCGAGTCCTGGGTCGGGTAGCGCTGTCGTTGGCCTGGCTCAGGGCCCATGCCACCCTTGTGGCCTGGAGAATGAATGGAACCTGCAGCTGGCCAGCCCCACCCAGACCCCAGGGACAAAGACTGCCAGGGGAAGATCTGGGGCCAGTCCCCGGGAGGGAGGAGCGGGTGCCAGGAGGCAAAGGGCCCTCCTCTCCCAACCTACAAAATAGGAATAACACCCCATCTCTCCCCGGGCTGCGGGGAACTCACACGCTCTGCAGGTCTAGAAAGCCACGTGGATACGAGGCTGCCGGACGTCTGGGTTTCTTTGCGCCTCAGAACAGCCCTTTCTGTTCCCCGACTCCATAAACAACTTGAACTTCTAGTCCACAAAGGGCGCCTGCCATAGTTAAAACAGCAGACCCAGCGGACCAGACAGGGAAAAGCTATTTGCCGCACATACAAGGGAGGACTAAGCTTAAGAATGGACATATAAAGAATCCCTACAAATCAGTAAGAGAAAATTAAATGATCCAAAGAAAAACGGGCGAGGACAGGCGTTCACAGAAGAGACCACACGGGCAGTGGGGTGAGGCCCGGGTTCGCTAGAAAGCGGAGGACTGAGACTCGAAGCAGCACGGCCGGTTCAGTCCTGCCAGGCGGGCAGATGGGAAAGACGTGCCCCGCTGAGATGGGGCGGCTGTGCCGTGAGTGGGGGAGACGTTCGCGCACCCCCTGGGGCACGGGCCGGGGGCCAGCCACTGTGGAGGGAGATGCGCAAACCCTTTGACCCAAGTCGAGATGTGTGAACAAGTGATTTCACCCGCGGCCTTGCGGACCGCCCCCTCCGGGATCTTGGCGCTGATTCGGAAAAAGATAGAAACCAGGGTGCCAGTCGGTGCCTCGGCAGGTGTGGCCTGCGGCCTGGACAGGGGCAGGGAAACCCCGTGCCCACCCCTGGCTGTAGGGCTTCATCCACCTCCTGTTGGCTCCTGTGAAGCCAGACCGCGGCGGCCCTCGGCGAGTGGCTGAGAAATGAAGCCGCTTCATTTATTCGCTGAGCGTGTGCTAGAGTCTCCCACGTGCCGGGCAGCCGGACAGATGAATGAGACGTCACCTCGGCCCTCGGGCTGCGCCCCGGCTGGTGGGCCCCAGGCGCGGTGGGGACAGAGGTGGGCACAGGCCCCGTGGTTGGGAAGGTTCCCAGAAGGAAACCGGAGGCAGGATGGAAGGGCGAGGGATGCGTTCCAGGCTGAGGGGAGGAGAGAGGCTTGACGCAGAGTGCGTGCATGGGTGCCCCGCATAGTGCGTCCCGTGGAGGCCAAGTGGCCTCCTTCCATGGGGGGGCGGGGGGTCCCAGAGGGCACAGGGATCCTTCATTAC